TTCCTGGCTACTGCACACATGTGAGGTTATCCTCCTACGTGTGCTCAAAGCATTCAGCACGCACCTCAATTAAAAGTCTTTAACAAATTCTCCATGACACCACAGAGTATTTGTTTTCTTCTTCAACTTTTTAGTTACAGTATGAGATTTCCAGGGGCCAATATTTGGTAATAGTGACTCAATAAACATCTGAGAAAAAGGCAAGAGGGATTAAATGAGAAATGGAGAGAACACAAGGTCAACTCCTGATAGGTTTTCAACATTGTTTCCCTACCACCTGCTGGTTAACCTCCTCCTACCTGCCCGGTAGGTGTTGATGCTTCTATAGTCATCGTCTTAGTTAATCCTCACAATAACCTGGTAAATGAAAATTATTTGGGGAGGAGTCAATTTTCAAGTTCAGAAAAGTAAGTTTCCCAGCACACGGTAAAACCAGAATTTCATCCTTGACTCTTGTATTCCAAAGCCATGATTTTCACAGCACCCCATACGGCCTCTGTGGGGAAGAGCCCCACGGTTTCCACTCCATGGAGCAGTGCATCCCCTGCTCAGTAGAACTGATTCTCCCATTTAGGGATCTTGCTCTGTCAGTCCTTGGAAATTGTTCGGTAGGGCATTCCTTGACTGATTGTTCTTTTTGTGCCCTGATCGGGGCTCCAGAACCTGCACCTGGGAAAGCCTTGGAGCACTCTCTCTCATCTAAGAGGGTCAGTTGTATCTGGAGGGGTACAGAAATTACAGAGGAGCTTGAAGAAACCCAGAGCCCTGCAAGCAAGCATAGCCCAGCAGCAAAGTCCAGCTTCCCACATACTCTGACACAAAGGTGAAAAGGGGCTGCTGCAGGCATCTCACTCCAGATGTCCATCACTGGAGCCAGGCAGAGAGCCCTGTGGGGTTTGACATTTCAAGGTCACAACTCCCAGGAAAGTTGTGAGGATGAAATGAATGGTCTACATCAAAGCATTCAGAGTTCTTTGAAAGAAAACTGCTGTATATATATTCATAGCATATTTTTGAAAATCATTATTTTTTTAATTTCTTTTTTTTTCCAACCAGTTATCTTGGGTATGCATATATACATACACACATACAGAAACACGCAAGCCAGGCACAGTGGCTCACACCTGCAATCCCAGCTACCCGGGTGGCTGACACAGGAAGATGGCTTGAGCCCAGGAGTTTAAGACTGCAGTGAGCCATGATTGTGCTACCCAAGTCCAGTCTGGGCAAGAGAAAGAGAGACCCCCATCACTTAAAAATAAATAAATAAATAAATAACCAAAACACACAAAGTAGATATATTGATTTTAGATAAATTAAAATTTGAATCATGCTGCAGTTATGGAGGAGGCAGGTATTATAGTCTTGTCTTTTCCCCCCCCTTTTTATTGGCCTCCCCCTTCCCACCTCCTATCTACCCTCACAGCGCTAAAAACCTATTAGGTATCCTTCTATGGCTTTTTCTCCCTGCTCACATGCATACTTATACTATCCTAAGGTTAAGTCATTGCTTGTTTAACAATAGAAATCATATTATACAAGCATTTCAGCATTCTGCATTTCTTTTTCAACAATATCTCACAGAAATTCCCCCAAGTCAAATGGGATAGTTCTAAGTTATTATTTTTAAAGTTTCACAACATGTTATGATGTGGATGGGCCCATATTTTTTTATCCATCCCCATCTTGATAGACACTTACTTGTCTCCAGATTTTTTTAGTGTTATACACAAAGCATCAATAAGATTTTCAGATAGAGCTCCACATTTTGGAGTTTTGTTTCTGAGGCCCCAGGAAAGGGATTGCTGCCTCAGATGGAATATGTATTTTGGTTTTCAGAAAGTTTTTTCAGCCTGATGGAACTAAAGTGATAACTCATTGTTATTTTGAAATGTGCATTTTCCTGACTACTAGTGAGAGTAAGCACTTCTTCATGTATTTGTTAGCATTTTGATTTTTTCTTTAGTGAATTTCTTTTCCATATCATTTTCCTTATTTTTATTGAATCATTTGTCTTTTTCCTTACTACTTTATTAGCGCTCTTCAAATATTGCAGACAAAAATCTTGGTCTTCTACATTGGAGCTATATTTTTCCATATTTATCATTTGTTTCTTGATATTATTTATGGTCTCCTCTGACATCACTTTTATTTTTGTGTGTGTGTGTATATATATATATATATATGCATATATTTATATATATTTTTGTAGTCTCTGGTTTTCCATCTTAGCTAAGAAAATGTCCTCTCCTCCTAAATTATTCATGAAGTTTTCTAGATTTGATTGTATGTTGTTGCATTGTTTTGCATTTATGCCTTTAATCCATCTGAAATATATTTTGTTTTTGAACATGATGTAAGACAGATTCTAATTTTATCTTTATCCAGATAAAGAAAAAATTATGCCAACACCATTTCTATAAAAATCCCTTCTTTTCTCATTAGATCACCTTTGTAATATATTAAATCCTCACATATGCTGACATTGTGTTCTGCTTTCTTTATTCCATTGTGCTGGTCTATTTCTCCATTCCTATGACAGTGTCATCTTTATATGATTAGAAGCTGTTTTGCTATCTGCTAAAGCAAATCCAGCTTCTTCTTTTTAGTCACACTTTCCTAGCTACTTTTGGACACTTGTCCTTCTATATGATATTTAAGATGACTTTTTTCCAATTTCAAAGAGAAAAACTTATTGAGATTCTCTAAAATTTGATTAAATTTTTACATTAGTTTTAGAAAAAAATACAATTCTAAGCCTCCATATTCAAGAACAAATTATGTCTTTAATAAATTTTGTATAATTGTCATTGCTACTTAGAATGGAATATTTTCTCTGCGTTCATTTTAGGTGCTTATGGTAATATAGGAAAAGCTAATGAATGTCTATATATTTATATTATAAATAACCATGAACAAAGTCTTTTATTTATTCTAGTATTTTTTTTTACCAGGTACTGCTTTTCTAAGTATACAGTTGCAGATCCAGCAAAGGGCATTATTTTGTCTCTTCTATTCCAAAGTTTACACAAATTATTCTTTTTAAAAAATATTACATTAACTGGAATCTCTAAGTCTAAGAAAGACTATTCATGATGGTCAATCTCATCTAGATTTTAAGTGGAATGGTTTTAGTAAGGTTGTATAATTTTGGAAAATAATTTTATCACTGTCAAGGACCTCATTTCCAAAATACTCTTCACTTGGTGAGAGCTGTCCAGGGATTTCTCAGGCAGCAGCATGTCTAGGAAGAAAAGGTGATGAGACAGAGGAGTGAGATACCAGGAGTGGTGGAGGACAGGGTGCTTCCGGGAGCACCCCACTATGAGAGCAGAGGCCAGGTTACATGAAGGCATCTACGTGCCAGAAGGGAATCTCTACCTGCCAGCAAGTCAACAGGTCCTCCCTTCTCCCATCTATAGATCACTTACTTCCAATTGTTCTCTTCAGTTCAATCTGAACCCAGCTTCTAATTCCTTCTCATTCCACATCCCTGGACATGGAAAGCCCAGCCCCACCCCAGCTCTCCGCAGGCTCCCTTCCATCATCCTGAGGACCCCTGAATCCCACTTCTTCCTTTAAGTGAGACCCTCCTGAGCATGTGTTTCACTACTTTTACAGGTCTCACTACTTACTACTAACCGAAGACAAATTCCTGTCCAGACAAGGTGGCTCACACCTGTAATCCCAACACTTTGGGAGGCTGAGATGGGCAGATCACTGGAGCTCAGGTGTTCAAGACCAGCCTGGGCAACATGGAGAAACCCTGATCATTTTAAGTGCTTATGGTATTATAGGAAAAGCTAATTAATTTGTATATATTTATCTTATAAATAGCCATGAACAAAGTCTTTAAAAATACAAAAAAAATTAGCTGGGCTCAGTGGCATGCCTGTGGTCCCAGCTACTCAGGAGGCTGAGGTGGGAGGATCACTTGAACCCAAGGCTGCAGTGAGCCTAGATCATGCCACTGCACTCCAGCCTGGGTGACAGAGTAAGACCCTGTCTCAGGAAAAAAAAAAAAACCTGACAACTCAGACACTGCATAGAAGAACCATTTACTTTTGTTGTGAAGGGCTATCCTGTGCATTGTAGGATGTTTAGCAGCATCCCTGACCTCTACCCACCAGATGCCAACAGCACCTCCCTTTCCAGTTGTGAGAACAAAGAATGTCTACAAACATTGTCAAATGTCCCCTGGTGATGATGAGTTGAGGTGGGGGTAGGTGGGGATGGGTGGGGGTGGGTGGAAAGGAAGCAAAGTCACCCTATAGGGAGCCACCGCCCCAGTCTGTATACCCTGAAACATGACACCTAGAGTTGCCGATGTATCAAACAGCTCTTTTGCAAATCATTGCCTGTAGATTGAAGCATCTGCCCTTGTCACTTTCAATTTGGAACTTATTTGAAAATACTGCCTCTTTCCTCTCTTCAAAGAGATCTTAATACATATGGCTTGCTTCTCTTGACTGGCAGTCACCCAAGCCTCTTGTTGAAGGATGATGGCTCAGAGATCCTGAAAGTTAATTTTGTGTGTGCCGCATCAGGGTCAGTTCACACCAATGTTACCTATTTTAAGTTGCAAGAGTGGGATCATTTTATTTAGCTCGCTGGTATATCACTCAGCATGAAGCTACATGTACTTTGGTTCCTATTGATGATGGAGATAAAATATGTGCAACTTTCAGAATTGCAATTTTCAAAAGGAAATTAGCTTTCCCCTGAGCAGCCTCACACTGCAGTTTGGCTGATGACATCCTAGTAAACAACCTACAAACAAACTCTTGACTTTGGAAATAAGTAGGAGCTATTTATAGGCAAGCAATAATTTTCAAGTGGGTAAGTCAAGGGGAAAAATAAGCTGAGAAAAGTCAGCAAGGAAACTCCCATTTCACTCAATACCTTGAAGTGAGGAACTGTAGGGCCATTCACCAAAATGGAAAGTTTGCGTCACTATTACTAATGGAGGAATGATGTCTTGGTGAATTTTTAACTTGTTGAAAATGCCAAACCATTTTATATGAAACAGCCACAATTTAACATGTAAAACATGAAGGCATATCCTCAAGACTATGGAAACAAAGGGATTTCAACCAGGATCTTGGGAGTATCAATCAGATAACAGGTATCCTAACAACTGAGGTGCTGGTAAAAGGCCATCTGCTGAGAATGTGAGGTTTCCCGCTCTGAGACTGTTTGAAAGAGGAGTCTGTATGCATGTGAATGTAAAGCCCCCTCTGCATTTTGAAAGGGTATCATGTCCCTGCTGTTGTCTTCTTACTAAGGAAAATCCGAAAACTTTCAATTGTCGTTGGAGGAAGGGCAAGCCAGGATAGGACACGGGCTGCAAACAGCTCGGGTGACAAGGAGGCAATATCCTAACAGGGGCATCCTAATGGGCTCTGCAAAGGCAAAGATGGGATCTTGAGGAAGTTGAGCTGTTGGCCCTTGGCCAGGGACACAATCTCCTTTCCAATCAGCTTTTCCGGGCTGCATCTTAGGGCTTCTGAGATTCAGGGCTTCCGTGGCTCCTAAATTCACTGGAACTTAAGACAAAGCTGATGGCAAAGAGCAACAGCTGGTTGATGGGAAAGTGTGACTCTTGGTTCCCAGGGACACGGATAAACCTTGCTGTCTTTTAAGATGGTAATGATCTCAGCATCTAAGACCTATATGAGAGAGATATAGATATTGTTCATCATGATCTGGAACCAGCAAACCTTTTCTGTAAAGATCCAGGTAGTAATTATATTAGGCTTTGCAGGCCACGTGAGCTCTGTCACGACTATTCAATTCTGCCAGTGGAGGACCAAGCAGTCCTAGACACTATGTAAAAGAATGGACATGACTATTTCCCAATAAAACTTTATTTACAAAAATTGACAGTTGGACCAGATTTGGCCCATAGGCCATGGTCTGCTGACTATTGATCTTGATGAGTGACATCAAACACAGCTAAATGTCCCCACCCAAATCGGTCAGTCCTTCCAACCTGTCTGGCCCTTGCCCTCTTCTTCTCTCTTAATGCTTCTTCCTAACCTCAGTCTTTCCCTGCTCCAACAAATATTTCCATTGCTGAAAATATTACCCTCTTAAAATATATCATTAATCCATCACTCCCCACCTTAAAAACCCTTAATAGTTCCCCAGTGCTTAGAGTCAAATGATCAAAATCTCTCAATATAGCATTCACATCCCTCCCCAATCCACTAGGCCTTCCCCATGCATATCTCGAGCTCTCACCATGGTGGCAAAGACACCTCTCCCCAAACACCCCAGGCAATTACCCGCCTCCAATCTTTGTCTAGACACGTTCTCTACCTTGTGCTACCATTCCCACAGTCCCTACCTGTCAGTCATTCTCATTCTTACACTGTCACTTCGAATTCACTTTCCCATGAAGCCTTTCCTTTCTGTCTGTGATAAATGATTTGCTCCCTTCAATGAGCTCCCATAGAATTGTTTTATCCCTTAAAACAGTATGCCTTGAGTTCCATTTGCTGCCTGAGTCATCACATGCCTCTTTGCTATTCCTCATTTATATATGCCACAGTATGTTCAATTCAATCATTTGATCATTCATTCATTATCAGATAGGTTTTGCATACCCATTGTATGTTTTGCAGTCTCAGGCTAGCGGGGAGAGACAGATATGCATAAACAAATACATAATTTGCTATATTAGAGCATTTCAGATAGAGAGAAATGCCAATTAAGGAAAACAACACAGGGTAATTTGTTAGGAAGAGTGAGAGTGGTTAGGGGCAAAGCTATTTTTCCCAGGGGAAACAGGGAAGGCCTCTCTGAGGAGACATTGTTGAACTGATACCAAGTATTGATGCTAAATTGAATATTGAATAGTGAGAAGCAAACATTTATACAAAGCTCTGACCAGAGAAAACACTTTTAAGTGGCCCTTGAATTCATAATAAAAATATTCCATAATTTAATAAATTACAGTTATTAAAAAGGAATGAAGTAGGTATAGCTATACAAGCACATATGAAAAGATATCTAAGATATGCTGTTAAGTGAAAATAAAAGCAATCTACAAAAGTATGTAATATATATTTTCATTTCTGAAATTAAAAATATTCATATGTAGACACATGTTAATCTATGCCCAAGAAAGACCTGGAAGGATACACAAGTGAAAGTTAAGAATGGTAGTTTCTGGGAGTGATAATGAGAGATTTTGATACTTTTGCTTTTCATTTTACACCTTTCTGTACAGTTTGAAATTTTTGCAAGAAGCAATTTTTACAATATTTTTGGCAAAGAGATTTTTGCCAAAAAATCAATTTATCATAAAAAATCTCCCTTCACAAAGGCTTCTTCAGTGTTTTTCAGTCTGTAACTTATGAGTACATTTTCCCTGACATACAAAGAGAAAATTCTTCTCCATTGTCCTTTCCATTATCGAAACTTGTGTGCTTCCCATCTCCATCCTTTCAATACCCTTAACACACATATATACCCAGAGCTGCTATGCGCCCTCACAATTCAGAGGGCATTGTTTTCGATATTCCAGCATCCCAAAGCATTAATTGAAACTCTGCTCTAAACAGGCTGGGGTTGCCAGATAAAATACAGGACCAACAGCTAAGTTTGTTTCCAATTAACAGTGAATATTTTTTAACGTGTGATTTTCTCAAGTATTGCATACTAAAAAAAAAAAAAATACTCAAAAGTTACTCTTTGTTCATCTGAAACTCAAATGTAACTGACTGTCCTGTATTTTTATTTGCCAAATCTAGCAACCCTAAAGCAGCCACACGTCCTGAACGAAAGACACTAAAATCTTAAATGAAGGACATTACATCTTCTCCGTGAATCTACCGAGTTAGAAGAATAATGGTGCACTTTTCCAAACCCTGACTCTGCCAACATAGTTAAACATGGTCCCATGGCTCTCCTTTCACTGTCTTCTCAAAGACATATTTACGTATATTAGGGTTTAATTGTATGTTTTAATATACCTTCTCTTGTCCGTCCTGGAGCCTTGTCGATATCCATGCTGCTTAGATAGAACATCCAGCAGAGAGAGGCAGACAGTGCCTTATCTTCACACACCCAGAGCTAGAACTCAGCATATCTTTTGGGCAGTGGTGCTGAGCCCTGACGCACACTAGACTCACCTGAGAAACTTTTCAAACATACCCACCCCTAGTCTCCACCCCAGATAAATTAATCCAGAATCTTCAGCAGTGGGAGCCAGGTGCTCTGCAGTTCCCCAGGTGATCCCACGGTACAGCCAGCATTGTGAACAATTACTTTAACACCTAGGCCATCTGTGCTCCACCCTCAGGCTTAAGTCCCATAAAATGGTGCCCTTCAGATATTATGTGCACACAGATAAGCTTGGGATGCTGTCAAAATGCAGATTCTGATTCCACAAATCTGGGGTCGGGTCTGAGATTCTGCATTGATAACAAGCTCCCAGGTGATGCTGATGCTGCTGACCCTTGAGACATACTTAGAGTGTGTCTTTTTTTAGTAACAACAACAACAAAAAAGAACTAAACCGAAGTCATTGCCACTTTTTACTTTATGATTCATATAATAGGGAAAATATTATAATGAGATTGATAATAAAAACTTTCTTTGGATCCACAGTCATCCTAAGACTAGCACCATATGTGCACTCCAGTTTCAAGTGGCAACTTCTCTGGATTCATTTCCTACCCGTAGGAAGCTAAACAGAAAATAACGTTAGTTCAAGTTTCAGCAGACAGATCGTTTTCAGATGGGAATACTCAGAAACTTCAGGCTAAACCCCCTGCCCAAGGGTCATAAAACCCCTACAGACATGCCAGGCTTGGCCGTGGCATAACTTCTCATAACTATTTTCAGATAGGAGCAACAACATTTTAGTACAGCAGCTGGGGATGTGCTGCCTAAGGACAGAGAGGTGGGTTACATGGCCTCAGAATGGCCCTGCAGCCCTGTGGGGCCATAACTCAGCACTGCTCCCATAACAGCCTGGGCTGGTTCTCCAAGCAAAATTTCCATATATAATGGTCAGGAGTTCCTGAGGTTCTAGTTTGTATTTCTCCTCTCCCACTGACCAGCTCTGTGACCTAGGACATGTTATGTTGCTTAAGCCTTAGATCCCTCAGATCCTCTGCAAAATGGAAACACAGGTGGATGTTTAGATGAGATTATATGTAAAGTATTTAGTCAGCACAGTGCCTGGCACATTGGCAGCACTGAATCTTAGCTATTATTATAGGTCCTCCTACGTCTTTAAGTGAGATGAAAATACTAGCCTTGGTGTGAGCCTCTCTCTGCTCACTCACAGAGAGGAGCTGAGCAGCTGCATTCAATACAGCACTGAGATCAAAAGTTCTGCTGCCCTCTGGGCTGCCTTTTCATTTACTCTGTGTGAAGGACAGCAATTGGTGCCCAGAGAGAAATACAATAATAATCACACTGTATCTGCACACATGAAGAAAATAGATCAGGCTTGAAGGCAAAGTGCAGCAGATTTTCTCCCACTTCACGGGAAGGGAAGTTTGCCTTGTGACCAGAGCTACTTCCTTTTGAGGCCAGGGAAGAAAGAACTAAGGCCAGCTTGAGTTACTCTGTGTACTCTCTATAGGAGCAAAGGCTTAGTGTGGTGCTATTAGTGAGGTCTGCAAATGGCAGGGGAGAGGAGCCAGTGTAGAAAAAGTACCAAAGGTTTTTAATATGGATGAGAAGCTGCCTGCTTTCTCCTAAGCAAATGAGGAAGGAGAGAAGTAAGGAACTCAAAACTATTTGCAGGTGGTCTCTGGGATAAAGGCATACACAGTGGAGGGGATATCCTGAGCCACATTTCAGTACAAAACCTACCAGTATTAAGTCTGGCTGCTGGGAGACCATCTCTGACTTGCTTCAGCAAAGAGACAATAAAAATGTAAAAATAGCAGATAACCCTTGAAATTCCAGTGTCAGCCCCAAAGAACAGCTTCCAAAGATGAAGAGTGGGTGGACTTCCAGAGACACAGATTTAGATTTCTAACTTTAGCCTGAACTTTCTGAAGCTTCTCAGCGGTACCAGGAAAAAGATTTGGTGTGAAGGAGGCTAAGAATAGCAGCTCAAATCAGACTGTGGAATTAGATGAGTTTCAATCAGCCATGTGTACCCCCAGTGTCTTTCCCTCCTCTCCAGCCTCGCTGGGACAGGGACACCCATAGAGCTGGAGAGTTGGAGCTGTAAGAGAACAATGACAACAAGAACTGACAACTCCTGAATGATTAGGACTTGCAGGCTGTATGCTAAGCACTCAATAGATGGGTTCGTTTAATACTTCCAATATTAGGAGTAACTCCACTTTACAAATGGAAATATTTATACTTAGAAATATCAAGAAACGAATCCAAGGTCAACCAGCTGGTTAAGTGGTGGAGGTGGAAAAAGAGCCATAAAGTGATGGGAAATAGAAAACTGGAAAGAAGTAGAAGACTGAGCACCTTGATAGGAATAGGAGAGCTTCAGGCATTAAAAGGGCTAAATAATGGGTAGCTTGGGCTGCTTTCCACCTCTATTGGAAATGAGTAGAGATTTCTTAGACTACAGCAAGGAGAAAGGAATTTGGTTAGACAGCGAAGAAAAAAAAAACCTCCTGGATTGCAACACTGTGTGACATAACATTCATTGTTAAGAGAGGATGATTAACCTGCTGAGTTAATTTTTAAAAAGGGGTGGGGGAAGGTGGTTTTGTGCTTCTCCAAGTGTGTTTCACAGAACACTAGCTCCTTAAGATATTAATAGGAATAATCAAATATACTCAGGAAATATTGTGCTAAATGGAGTCAAACAGGTTTCTTTAGTGAAGGAGCTCCAAGAGCTTTATTAGCTCAGTATGTTGTGAAACTCTAGTGGTGGAATAGAGTAGGTGGCGTTTCCCAAACTTATCTGACCAGAACCTTTTTTCAAACTAGTCTTTCCTCAAATATACTTGGGGGAAACCCTGGGGTTTTCTGAGATGATTTAAGTATGGAACTTTCTGGAAGCTGGGGACTTGCTACTCAAAGTGAGTCCATGCACTTCATTATCATTGTAAGCATCACTTACGGGCTTGTCAGAAAGCTAAGGCACTTTCTTACAAGTATCTGACGCCTTGGTGCTCCTCCATGGGGCTTCTCTACAAGGAGAGCTTGGACTTCCTCGAAGCATAGCATTCTCAGAGTACTGGACTTCTTCCATGGCAGTTGGCCACCAAGATGGAGAAAACAGATGCTGCCAGATTCTCAACCCCACCCCAGACCTACAGAATCAGACTCTGCTTCCTAACAGTATGCCTTGATGATTTATTATATGCAGATTAAAGCTTGAGAAGTTCAAAATTTCTTCAAGCCTCAGGATATGGTTACACACAATTCTACAGCAACCATATCCATAACATTAACTGTCTGCTATATAACAAACTACCCGAAAATTTACTGTCTTGAAACACTAATGACTTATTTTTCACAATTTTGTACGTTGACTTGGCTTAGTTGGCGGGTTCGTCTGCCTTTAGTAGGCTGAATTCATGGGCTGGACTGCCAAGGCTTCACTCTTGTATCCGGCGCCTTGGTGCTCCTCCATGGGGCTTCTCCACAAGGAGAGCTTGGACTTCCTCAAAGCAAAGCATTCTCAGAGAACTGGACTTCTTCCATGGCAGCTGGCTTCCAAGATGGAGAAAACAGATGCTGCCGATTCTATCAAGGCCTGGCTTGAAAGTCCTAGAACAGCACTTCTGCTGCATTCTACTTATTAGTCAAAACAAACCACAAGGCCAATTAGATGTGAGGAGAGGAAAAATGGTTTCCGCCTCTTGAGAGGTGAAATGCCATGCATATACAAGGCAAGGAATTGGTAATGGCCGTCTTTGGAGACTATCTACCATACTCTCTACCCCTCTTGAGTGATATTAGATGCTGTACATGGTCCCTTCTTAAACTCCAAGCACTTGAAAAATGCTTTAATATGTGTCCCAGACTGGCTCTTCCTCCAAGGTAAACAGGAACTTTAACCCACTTTACAAAGGAAAGGTATGTTCCATTTATGGAATGTCAGTGCCAGGGGCGTGGGGGGAGTTGTTAGATCTCATTATTCATCAACACCAACCAAAACTATTTATTCTAAGCCTACTATGTGCCAGGAACTTGGTTCTGCATATATAGCAGTATATAATATAATGTACAATTCTAAGAGTACTTTCTCAATGATTTCCTTTTCCTACCCTTTTAGTGGTAGGCGACAAACACTAAACTAGTAAATCATTAGATAAACAGAATAATTTTGGAAAGCAATAAGACTATGAAGAAAATTAAATAGTGTGATGTGATTGTGAGTGACTTTCTAAGATAATTTAAATTAGGAGGTCGAGGAATACCCCATGGAGGGAGTGTCATTAATTGAGACTTGAAGGATGAGGAGGCAGCTGCTTGAAAAGCTGAGATCAGAGTGGCGAAGAGTGCAGTTGCAAAGGCCCTGAGGCAGGGATGGGCTCTACACGCCTAAGGGGCAGAAAGAAAGTCACTGGACCTGGTCCAATCTACATCCCTCAAGGGGCAGGGAGCCTGAGATGAGGCAGGAAGAGTGGGTGGTGGGGTCAGGTGTTCACAGGGCTCTGTAGGTAAGAGTGAGAGTATCTCATTACTTCCTGACCGCCATGGAAAACCACTGGACAGTTTAATGCAGATGTGACACAGCTTGATTTGCACTTTTACAAGAAGACTCTGGCTGCGTGAGAAACAGATTATAGAGAGAGGGCCAGGCATGGTGGCTCACACCTGTGATCCCAGCACTTTGGGAGGTCAAGGCGAGCAGATCACTTGAGGTCAGGAGTTCGAGCCCAGCCTGGCCAACATGGTGAAACCCCATTTCTACTACAGAATACAAAAATTAGCTGGGTGTGGTGGTGAGCACCTGTAATCCCAGCTACTCGGGAGGCTGGGGCATGAAAATTGCTTCAACCTGGGAGGTGGAGGTTGCAGTGAGCTGAGATCGTACCACTGCACTGCAGCCTGGGTGACAGAGGAACACTCTGTCTCAAAAAAAAAAAAAAAATGTAGAGAGAAGAACGGAAGCAGGGAGACCAGTTAGGAGGTGAATGCAACATTCCAGGCAGGAGGAAATAGCAGCTTGCACTAAGGTGGGGCTCCGGGTGCTGATGAGCCAGGTGGAGTATCCCTGTCCTCGCCAACCTCCTACCATCAGGGAAATGCAGTCAGACATCATCCCAGACCCTGTGGTTCCACGTGAAGAAATACGTGTCTTGATTAGGACTTCACAGGGTAGAACATTGCTCCAAGTCTCTTATCTTTTTTTTTAAATTTTATTGGGTTTAGATGATGAGGATTA